TTACATTCTCTTCCACCTTAAGAATATATCATGCCTAACTAAATTGTTTAAACACTGAACTGACAGAATCAAGGAAGAGATAGTTTGTGGTGAATTTATGTTTTGTCAACCCAGCAGCCTTCTTTCCCCATTCTTCTGGCAAGTAACTTTTCTTTCAGTGGCACATACTGCATATTCAGGGTATAAGCCTAAACAATCCTTTACTGGATGGTATGTACCCGTGATTCCACCAGAGAATGACACTTGATTTCTTGTGACTGTCTTTATCAATACACATAAATTTAACCCTAAGAAAACCAAAAGATAAATGCCAAGTGAGGGACATTCTACAAAATACCTGACCAGTCAGTACTCCTCAAAACTGTTAGGGTTTTGAAGAAAGTCTGAGAAACTCAAAACCAAGAGGATCCCAAGAAGACATGATGACTAAATGTAATGTGGCATCCTAGATGGGATCCTGGAACAGAAAAAGACATTAGGTAAAAATTAAGGAAATGTGAATAAAGTATGGATTTTAGTTATTAAAATGTATCAACACTGGTTCACTAATTCTAGCAATTTTATCGTACTAACAATTTTTATCTCCTATAATTTATCAATGTTAATTATAGAAGAAATTGGATAGGGAATATATGGGAACTCTCTGTACTATCTTTATAATTTTTCTTTAAATCCAAAACTGTTCTAAAAGAGAAAGTAAATTTAAAAGAAATTAGGCTGAGAAGAGGTAAAAAAAAAATGCAAACCTAATCACACTTCCATGCTGCTAGTACAAACTTTATTGTACATCAACATTTTTCTGCAAATTTTTGAGCCTCATTCCCAGAGTTTCTGATTTAGCAGATCTGAGGTTGAGGACCCAGAATTGGCACTTCTAACAAATTCTGAGATGTTGATCCTGCTGGTCTAGAAATGGTATTTTGCTTGTCACTGGCTTAGCCTAGAAGATGAAAGTCAGAAACCTCAAATGATCCCTTGCTTATTTGTCTTTCCTCTGCTGGCATCTTATGTTGCAGGCACTTTATATAACTGCTTTAAGCAAGCCTCATACTAAAGGGGAAAGACAGACAAATCTGATTCATTACAGATTTTTCTAACATGCAGATATGAATTCCTATCTGTAAAGCTACATATACAGGATACATACCATTATCAAAAAGACAATGGACGCTTGTTTCTGAAACTGAGGATTCTGAAACTTCTTTGGAGGCTGTTGAGAGAAACTAGAGACCTAAGAGTTGTCAAATCACAAATGATGAGTTTATAATCTATTATTATAACTAAAACAATCCAGGCAAAAGGACTACATATTTTATTTTATAAACTTATTTTCTAACAAAACATATGAAACTAAAAATTTTTTCCTGGTGACCAAACACAGTGTTACCAATTTTCCATGCTATGTGCCAATGTTTTATGGAAACTATTACTCCAAGTGGCAGACACAAACAGCACAGAGCAGTTAAAAGCACAAAACACAGAGCCAGGCTGTTTGAGCTTAAAATTACTACTCTCTATAAACTCACTAGCTTTGACTTGGGTGAGTTATTTAACCTATGCAATAAATCACTTTCCCCACCTGTAATATAATGATAGAACCTACCTCACAGAGTTATCATTAGGGGTAAGCTCATATTCATTGAAGTCCTTAAAACAGTGAGTGGCCCATAAGAAGGGGGTTGTTGGATCTTCTTGATATTTACAAAAGCCAATCAATACGCCAAGCACTATACTAGAAAGTGGCATTATTATGGTTGGCCAAAACAGTTAAGGTTAGTCAGTCTACAAGAGTATACAGACATTAACAAATCAATCACACACAAAAAATATGAATATGGAACTGTAAACTATAATTAACATTTGCAGGAAAGGACCACACTATTTTAAAATCATTAATCTTACTATACACATCTAGTTTCATTTGTGGAGGATGACAGGAAAGTACGACAGGTTCACAGATGTTTCCCTTTTCCAGGCTTAATAGTAATCTTACTTCAATTAGCAAAGTCTTAGAGATATTTTAACAATCCAATCATTTGGGCAATATACCTGCTTGGTCAAAAAAAAAAAAAAAAGGAAACCAAATTATTTTGACATAATTTTTAATCAACATAAAAATGTTTAAGGCTGGAAGTTTTATTTCACTTTAATGGACATTAAAGGTGGCCTACTAAATTGGAAAACTAAGAAAGGTCATTAATTAACATTTAATTAAAACATGCCCCTTGGAGAAACTGTTCTTGAAGGAATTCTTTAAGAACTATATAAAAACTTAAAATCAAATAGTAACGGTGCAGAAGAAAAACACCACAAGCTCAGTACTTCAGAGATAATGCTATGTGTATAAAACACCCAGGCATTTACACTTAAATAAAAAAGGCAAGTCATGCAACAACTCCAGATGAGTTTAAGTTCCAAGGTACTTAGGCATTAAGGAAGAAATCAGGTAAAAAAATCAACTGCCTATCGACAGAATTAAAATAAATGAAAGGAAATATTAACAAAACTTAAAAACAAGCTAGACTTAGCTTGCATTTCAGAACTGATGCCACAGATTTATGATATAGGCAAAAGAATAAAAACAATACCCAATATGAATGTTTATTCAAAATTAATATGCAATGAAAAAAACAAAACCCTAATGTTAATGTTCTAACAGACAACTTAAAAATACCTGGTAGTTACTAAGAAAAAAAAAAAAAAAAAAAGTAAATACCCAAATGCCTTAAAACTGATACCAGAACTCATAAATGAGATTTTAAAAATTTATTTATTGTGGGTGTCATGCAGTTTCAGGCTGGGGAATGGCTGACTTTTTTTTTTAAAAAGTAAGGAGTGGCAGAGCAATACCCCGAAGTCACTTTCAATTATTTGCAAGAACTCTTTAGGTTTTTCATCACCCTTAAAATGGTTAAGGAATTGTCTAAACAAAACCAAACAGGTTACACTTAATAATAATTAAAATCTCTAGCATAAAATGATAAAATAGATCATTAGTCCTCTGCCAGTATATGGTTACAAGAAGTTACATCACTGACCTATATAATCATTTCTCTCTATGGTATGTTGATTTCAATTTATATTTTTAATGGTTTACAAGTTACTGGCTGAAATTATTACAATAAAACTAGGGCAGGTTTTAAGAACTACCCTTCAAGTGTTCCACTAAAAAAGGATGGTCAAAATCAATGTTCTAATTTACGTAGTAATATTGTACCTATTGTACTAATTCTTAGTTTTGCACATGTTCTATGGTCACATAAGATTTTAATACAAGGCAAAGATTACTATAGGAAATAAAGACTTCTCTAAGTACTTTTTTTGCAATTCTTCTATAAATCTAAAATTATCTCAAGATAACAGGATAAGAAAAATAAAAACTCAACTCTTAGGACCTTACTACCTTTATGCTAGCAAAGATACTTAACAAGAAAAAATAGTACTTTCTATTTCCCATGTTGAGTTTAGCTGTCAGATTAGTTACCAAGTGTATAATAAACTTAGATTTCACTGCTTTGCTGTAGAATTACTTTGAATGCTATGAAAGACAAACATATTTCTAGAGAAACAATACACTTAACAACCATTTTTAATTTTCTTGACAGATAAAGTGACACAAATTCTACTTAACAATAACTGTCCCTTTATGTACGAATCTAAGATAAAAATATTTATATTTTTATTTGGGCAACAAATCAGAGGTTCATAGGAGTAAGAGAGGAAATAGGATGGTCACTAATGTAACCACTAATGTAACCGAATATATAAGCTGCATCTCACACACACATACACAAAAACACATACAGAGTCAGTGCTTTGTAACTAACTCTCAGGTGAATAATCCACTTGCTTTAAATAATAGTTCAATTGCATGTAACACATTAAGATATTGCTTAGGGGGAAAAAAGTCTCAAGAAGAAAACATTAAAAAAGGTGTATTAATCATCACCTCAAATCAAATCAACTATCAACCTCTCCCTTAAACAATAAATAAGATTTTATGTCTCCAAATGAACCCAAGTCCTTAAATTATGAAAGATAAAATTTAAATACAACCCCAAGTACTAAAAAGTTATATACTCTCTTTTGGCCCAGTTGTTCTGAAATGTTTCCATGGTATTTTGTTAAAATACCATGTATCATGAAAGCCCAGTTGCCAAGTTTTTTATGTCTTTATTTGTAACAGAGCTAAATCCTTTAATAATTACATAACTACCTTTAGTAGTTATTTGCTAGTTGAGTGAGACATACTCTTTATTAACCTGTACTTCTAAAACTGTACTTATGCAAATTTTCTTTGTAAGAATAAAAGAAAAACACTCAAGGGGCTTGGGAAATAATCATTTTAATCTACATTAGCATAATTCATACCCAAATTTCTTAAGTTTTGCCAAAGTTCTGGCCTTCAATCATTTCTTAATTTTAGTTTTCTTGGTGAGCTCTGCATTGCCTCAAAAAGTAAACTATCTTTAATGGGTTCAATTAGCATAAACAATCTAAGCCTGTGATACCTGTAGCTAATGAAGTATATACACAATCAACATTGTATCACCTAGAATTGTCAAGCTATTCATGAAAGTCTAAAAAAAAAAAAACTCTAAAAGAATTTAGCTATTTTATTTAACATGTAATAGATATTTGTCATAAAGAAAAGCTTAAATATTTAGTTTTCTGATACCCTAATGTTATTTCCATAAGCCTTTAAGTCTACGGTTCAATACATAAAGGTTCCCATCACGGAGGCCAGATATATATAAAGATATATTCTCTTTACATGTAACTAAAGATTTTAAAAGGGTGTAGGCTATAAATCCGATACAATTTAGTCAGATACAATTTAGTCATAACACCATACAAAGACCTTATAAAATAATCAGGAAAGAGATGTTTACCATTATTGCTTAGTCTTAATAAAATCGCAAATTCTAGCCAAATTGATACGTCTCTACTCTTATTTATAATGTTTTCTATACATTTAAATAATAGCGCTTGGCAAGTAATACAGGTACTGATATAATGTTTTAATTCAATTAGTTGTAAACAAATTCCAATTTGTTATTCAATGCATATATTCCCCTTTAACTAGCTACTACACTACCTCAGAATTATTCCTCCTAGAAAAAGTAACCTTCCCAAGGATAAAACAATGCAGAGCTTTATCTCCTCCTTAAAGATTTTCAAGTATTATAGGAACACAAACTCATGAAAAAACTAATTAAAAATCCGACATTCCATCTTGCTTTACTAATTATGGGGTAACAGAAAAGAGATGTGAACGAAACAAATGTTCTTTTACACTTCTCTGCTCAACATAATATTATATGAAAAAATACTGTAACTATGAGCTACTTTCTACCTTTTCAAGTAAAGGACCCAACTACAGTTCTGTCGAGTGAGGAGAAATGAATAATAAAACTTAGGTAACTCAAAAAGAAGATGGGAGGCACAGAAAGATAAACTGACTTTGGCTTTTAAGAACCTACCATTGACCCTGAACTGCCAGATTCAACAATAACAGCAACAACAAAGACAACACAGCAACAAGAGAGGACAGCAGCAAGCCACCATTTTACCACACAGCTAAGAATTCTGAAATAGGCAATGACTTTCTATCCCTGTCAACTCATTCTGCTGTATCTTCTTTTTGTTTTTCCTGCTTTTTGGTAGCAGGCAGTTCAAGGCTTGCCCATTGCATAGGTTCAGCTTTTCTCATGGTGATCTCAATCTTTGTTGCAGTCATAGTCACATAACTTCGTGTTACATCAATCACCTGCAACATACCAGAGAATGATGGTAAGCTTCAATGTTGTTTTTCAAGTCCCAGAGGAAAATACCAGTCTTGTCTATGCTAATAATCACAACTCTGAGCATCTAAGGCCATTTTTATACCCAGATTTAAAGTTTTTAGTAAGAATTAATGGTAAGTTATATTACCTATTTTGTATCATTGATTTCTAAAGTATGGTCTTCTTACTGTACAAACTGTTTATTTTGAAGTAGTAAAAAAATTCTGGATACTTACACCCCATAATTTCACATTTTGATGAAATTCCTTCTCTCCTTCAAATACAATGTGCACATTTAACTGAAAAATATACAGAAAGTTAACTGATCAAATCCAAGTTGAAGGAATAAGATTTAAACAATGATTATAAATAAAGAAGATACTGATATAAATCCCTTAAGCTATTTTAACAAACTTCCAGTATTGTGTATTTTTTTTTTTTTGAGGAAACCATTAACAGAGAAGAAAAATTAACTGAAGTTTCATATTGAGAACTAGGTACTATATTATTTAATAAAGTCTTCTAAGCTACTGTAGTATTTCCAGAATGCTTCAGAAATAATTCTATTTTATACAGAAATTTTCATTTACAATAGTTTCTGACAGTAATTTCAAACTACTTTTTCGAATGGGGAAGATTTTTAAAAGAATCTTAAAATTAACCCACAGTATTTTTTAATACATTAATATAGAGAATCATGTATGAAGACAATTTTTTCTCAAAGATATTTAGTGTACTTACCAATGTACTATTTGCTTCTACTTGGCTAAGTTCTGGAAGTGAATTTTTAGCATACACTGAAATGGTGACTTCACCCCCAGTCTGATGCCAGTCATGTCTACAAGGAACAACTTTTTTCCCCTGTAAAAGAAGAAAATCCTTATGAATTTACAAAGTGCCACATAACCTCTAAAAAAGAGGAATCTGAGTCAAATAATTTTTTAAAAAATTACCATGTGCAACTGAGCCCTTAATGTTTTTAAGGGCAAACAATCTCTAAAAGGTTTAAACAGTAAAATGTATCACAATACAAATAATCTTTATAATCTTATGGTTGGAGAACATGCTTATTCTTCCATTTGTGTTTTTTCCTTTTAGGGCCATAGCATCACTATACATTGAAAAAGGCAACTTAAAAACTCCGATTAAATTTTATCCTATTTTAACGTTTCTGAAATCCACTAAACACAGTCATAAAAACATTCTATGAAAACCAAGACATTTGCTTAGTGGAATAATCCAGATAACATCTTAACCTGATGCATTGAGATTTTCCACTTATTTTCTTTAAGTTGGAAGTTGACGACATATTGAAATTTCCAGTTTCTACAAGTTGGAACTGACTACTTATAGCAATCTACTATTTGCTGTTATAGAATAGTTTATTTTCCCCTAATAATAAAATGAAGAAAAAAGTGATAATTTGTGGAAGAAATGTTTTGGGTTATTACTACAGAAGTAACTATTACCTACTAATAGAACATTGCTTTATCAAGGACTATTTTAAAAAAAGAGACAAATTGTGATTAGTTTCATAACTTTACGAAAGCAACTTAGTTTCATAATGCAGGAAACTGTGAGGCACTGCTGTTCTTTTCAATTAACATATAATGTATTATTTGTTTCAGGGGTACAGGTCTGTGATTCATCAGTCTTACACAATTCACAGTGCTCACCATAGCACATACCCTCCCCAATGTCCATCCCCCAGCCATCCATCCTTCCCACCCCCTCCATTCCAGCAACCCTGTTTGTTTCCTCGGATTAAGAGTCTTTTGTGGTTTGTCTCCCTCTCTGGTTTCGTCTTGTTTCATTTTTCCTTCCCTTCCCCTATGATCCTCTGTCTTGTTTCTCAAATTCTTTATATCACTGAGATCATATGATAATTGAGACACTACTGTTGAAAAAGCAGTATTTACATTTTGGTATAATTATGCTAACTGAATTTAAAATTGTTTGGATCACTTACATTTTTTGTCCTTAGCTACTAGCTCAGACACTTAACACTTGATTAAGTGTATGCATTAAAATATAACAAAAACATTATTTCACCAAGGGTTATACTCTGAAAACTTCTGCATATAATAAAAAACATTTATTTTTTTAAGCTAAAACTTTCAGAATTTTGGTCCTTGGAGAAAATACAGAAAGACTTTACTAAGTTTTTTTGCTAATAAAATATTCCTGCAAGTTTTGTGGTAGACAAGTTATTGTAACTTGAAGGATATATTTATAATACCAAAGCATGTTACTAAAAATCAGAAAATATAGAATACTCAAATACAGAATTGAATGAATCCCTAAAGCAATTTGGAAATTTACAATTGTTCTGCAAGTTAAAAGACACATACAGTGAAAGGTTCATTGTTAGTGGGGTTGTTACTGCCAAAATAGCACAAAAAACTAATTTATTATAAAATACATTACAAGAGCTAAGGTGCACTTACTGACAATAAATTGGTTGCCTTCTTACAATTTAATGGGATTCTGGACACTTATTTACATAGCCTATGTCTTTTTAAAAAGCTATCCAGTGAAGTAAGGACTAAAGTTTTTGTTGTTTCGATAAAGTACCCTCTAGCAAGCAGAGGAATTCAAGACAAGTGGAACAAGTCAGTCATCCTTCTCTTTGGCCGCTAGATGGAGTGATTTTGCACTGTAAATGGCTGAGTCAAGTTTTAAGAGGCCAGAAGAGAATCCAAAGTCGAAGTGATTAGTAACATGGAAGGAGTAGAAAAATGATTTAAAAAAAAAACCAAACAAAACAAACAAAAAAAAAACCAGAACGTGGGAAGAGCCTATAGAATTACAGAAACACATGCTTCAATTCTGGCAGAGACTTCAGTATTTCACAAAAATCTGCATATCTGCATCATCACACATAATGGCCACTTGGATTAAAAGGCAGTGCTCTAGACATTTGACTCAAATTAATTTTAATTTTTAGGCTCATCAAACCTTTATGCAAGAGAGAAAAACTTTTTTTTTTTTAAATTTCTGAAGACAGAATAATCTTAAATCTTTAAAAAATGACAGATAACTATATCCCGATGTTATTATGAAAATGCTACTTACAGCATCCTTTTTAGTCCACATGTGTTTCCCTGTTGTACAGCCCTCTTGTGCTAAGAATGTATTGAAATCAGAAGTTTTTCTTCTACAACAGCTCCAGTATTTCATCCTTTAAATTATACAGAAAAGCTTCAGAAATAAAACCTTACAACTACCACAATGACAGTGTGATTTTAAAAGGTAAATAAGTATGTGCAACTTCAGTATTCTACAGAGAGTCTGAGTTACTAAAGAGTTAAAACTATCAGGAGACTAATCATTTTAAAACCAGAATGGCATTTATTGTAGTAGTTCTGGAGCTCCTGAGTAAAGATGTTTAAAACCATCACAAAATTCCAAATCTGCTTTTCACTAATTGCTCACATTCCACTTTCCTCATAAAGTTCCCCAAAAGTGATAATGACCAAAGGTTTTAACAGAGTGGAAGACTTTAACATGCTACTGCATTTCTATAAACTACAACACAACATGGAAGAGGGGCTAGATCTCAGTTGAGGGCTGTGGAAAAGTGTGGATTTTCTTGGATGACACAATACTGATGACAGATACTAGCCAGACTCAAAGATTCTAAATGTCCAACAATGCACAGAACAGTCCTTCCAACTAAAAACTATCCAGCCCAAATAGAGTATTCCATTGAAAAATAAGGGAATAAGGAAAAACATGTGGTATGAATCACAATGGCCATTTCACTGTAGTAACTGTTTGTTTTCTCATATGTAAAAAGATAAAACCCACATTCTAGGTTTTTCTAAAGATTATATAACAATGTAAGTAAAACACTAATAATGCTACATGGCAAATAATGTTTATAGGCACATTAACTCTTCTAACCTCTACCATGAAGTTTTAATTAGTCATGTATAAGTTACCCTTCATGAAAAATAGGTACTCCAGAATGATATACACAGACTTCTTCTAAACTCTGTGGACCCTGATAAGTCTAAAAGAGAAAAAAGAGGGAAAAATTAGCTTCACATCTCAATGTCCTATTTCACAAACATTTGTAGAACTGGTGACCTCTAAGAACTATGAAAATGCTCAAGAAATAACAATTACCTAAAATATTCATAAATTCACCCCAAGCCTTTCCAATAAGGAATGGAAAATGATTCCTTTTTAGATATGCTTAAGTTTTAGTTCCCTGTGAAAAAGGCAAATAGAAAAGTAGGCAATGGGATATATTAAGATGTTTTCACACATTCAGGTATGAGGTCACAATTCAACATATTCAGGTATTTAAATTTATAGAACAATATTGAAACCAAGGGACTGGTATTCTCAATGGAAATACAGTTATGGCATGATTTATGTGTATAGGAAATTCTGTGTGGGCATTATGAATTAATAAGCAATTCTGGAAGTTCTACAGTGTTGTTTCTTATCCCTAGGAAGGGTAAAATGAGCTGCAGACCTATAAATATATCCAGGGTTTGTCTGGAAGATCCGGGCCCCATTGCTGCTGTAGGTGAAGGCTCTACAGATGAATTCACAAAAAGTAATGTTAATAAAACACAGATGCAGCCAGCAGTATATTTTTTACTCTGGTATTTATAGCAACCACCTACAAGTACAGAAAATAAAATTCTGTATATTTACTTTTGGTAAATCCAACGTACTGCCTGGGTATCTCCTAAAGATTCCATAAGCACATAAAAATCAGCTATGTTAGATTCTGAACTTATCACTACTGCCCCCTCAACTCCTACTCTTCTTCTTACTTATGTGATGGCACCATATCCATTCAGTCGCCCAAAGCAAAACTGCAGTCCTCTCCCTCCGTCCATGTTTTCTATCATGAAATCCTGCCAATTTAGCTTGAAAATCTCTATCAGTTTAATCTTCTAACCTTCCTCATGATCCCTAGCAGATTTTAGACAATGAGACTGCACTAACAGATTCTAATTCTTTTCTTTGCCTTCCATTTCTGTACTCTAATTAAAACGTGTTACCGCTCTCTTATAACAGTCGTTTAATTACATCTACCACACACCTTACAGTTACCAGTTCCAGGTGGTTTGTACATTTTAAAAGTGCCTCTATATATTAGAAAATACTCATGGCCTTCAAGTAGACAAACTTCTTAAAAAGAATAGGAAGAGCACTTGTCAAACAGAATGGACAAATTGGGTTTCATTAAAATTAAACAGCCTTTGTTTTATCAAAAGCCATTATTAAGACAGTGAAAATATACAGTATCTCTCTTTGGTTAAAAATAATAAGAATTCCTAAAACCAAAAAGAAAGCCAACTGAGAGAAAGAAAAATACGTAAAAGATTTCAGACATTTCACGAAAAGAGGACATCCAAGTGACCAATAAACGCCCAGAAAGGTACCCAACCTCATCATCAGGAGCATGCAAACTAAAATCACAATGGCAACACTTTGCGCTAAAAGAATGGCTAAAATATAGAAGACTGATATTACGAAGTGTTAACCAAGGTGTAGAACAAATGGAATCAGCCCCATATACTGCTAGCCGATGTGTAAAGGCCATCATCTTGGAAAACTATAAGGAACTATTTGTTAAAGCTGGACACAGACACACTATCATCTGGCAATTCCATTTTTAGTCATATACCTAATAGAAATGTATCCGTGTGTCCCCAAAAGTCAGGCACAAAAATGTTCATAGTAGCATTAAACAAAAATATTTAAAGGACAATAGAAAGGGTAAGCTGATGGGCAACATTCACACAGCAGCACATTTTAAGGCAATGAAAATGAACAAACTATGGCTACATGCAACAAAGATAACTGTAACACACATTTCATTAAGCCAAGGAAAACAGGAGTGAGAATCCTGGTCTATGATTCTATTAACATTATGCTCAGAAACACAAAACAGGCAAAACATTGATAAAAAATGTGATTATATTTGGGAGAAAATAATAAATGGGAGAAGGTATAAGGAGGGCTCTGCTCTGTGAAAATCCCTTGAGCTATAAATTCACTTACATCTGTATACTTTTTAATATTACATTTCATTGAAAAGGATCAAATAAGGGCCTCTCTAACCTACAGCAGGTTCTAACTTTTCAGCACTATAAAAGCCTTTAAAGATCTGGTCCTTAACAACTTCTCTTTTAATCTCCACACCAACAAATTTTATACATTACAAACTGTTCCTTGTTTGCTGTATACTGCTATCACCTCTGCTTGAGATATCCTTCCTTTTAATCCATTTACAGAATTGGCATTCATGTTTCAAAATCTGTCTGAGATCGTTTCTCTCTGGTCTTCCTGCACTACCCACCCTCCCACTTGCACTGTTTCCTCGAGCCCAGTATTCAGTTACTCTCTTCTATCTACTACTTTAACCTTACATACATATAAATACATTTCCATTTCCAACCCTAAGTAAGCAAGGTGATCTCAAACTTAACATGAGGGAAAATTACACACCCGCTCCCCAAAACCTGTTTTCTCCTTCTTGGTTAACGGTGTCATCAGTCACCCAGCTGTTGGAGCCCCATGTCCCCTCCACTTAAAGTTCATTAGCAAGTTCTGCTAATACTTCCAAATAGTATTCGTTCTGCATCATTTGTCATGAGCCAGGCAGGCACCGCTCTAGGCATTTAAGATACAGCAAAGAACAACAACAAAAAAATTCTGTCCTTGTAAACCTTACATGAGAGAAGGAAGGGAAGGGAAAGTCAGATCACAAAATACATATGCAAAAGAAGTAGTGTGTTATAAAGTGATTAGTGTCCTGGAGAAAAGAAGGATAGTTGAGAACAGAGATATTGGAAGGCATGCAATTTCACATAGAGAGGTAGGGGAAACTCACTGAAATGTTTGAGTATATCCCACATTTAACCCCTTCTAAAAAATAAGCTCCAACCCCACTGCCTGGTCTTTCACAATTGCAACCTAGCTGGTTTCCCCTCTGTTAGTTCCCCAGTGCCCCATTATGTATGCCAGATTATCAGCCAGAGGTCTTTTTAGAGCCCCTCCTTAGAATAGAGAATGTGAGGGCACCTAGGTGGTGCAGATGGTTAAGCATCTGCCTTTGGCTCAGGTCATGATCCCCAGGTCTAGGGATCAAAACCCATATCAGGGTCCCAGCTCAGTGGAGAGTATACTTCTCCCTCTCCTCCTGCCTTTCCCCCCCCGCCTGTGCTCTGTCTCTCTCTCAAATGAGTAAATAAAATCTTAAAATAAATAAATAAATAAAAAAATAAAGAATTCTTCCCATTATCCCAAAAAAAAGAAAAAAAAAAAAAAGCCCACACCCTTCACTGTGCCCTATAAGGACTGCCATAATTGTGCTTCCCCAACTTACCCCTACCTTTCATATTTTCCACCCCTGACCAAGCCCCACTGACCTTTCCCATAATTTCATGAAAAGCCAAGCTTTAAAGGCTCTACACATACTGCTCCCCTATCAATTTGGAGGTTTACATAACTCATTGCTTCATTATTTAGATTTCTGATTTAGTGTCACTTACCAAAGGATTTTCCTGACAGCCTTATTTATTAAATATTTTATTTATTTGACAGTCAGAGATCACAAGTACTCAGAGAGGCAGAGAGAGAGAGGAGGAAGCAGGCTCCCCGCTGAGCAGAGAGCCTGATGCGGGGCTCGATCCCAGGACCCTGGGATCATGACCTGAGCCGAAAGCAGAGTCCTTAACCCACTGAGCCACCCAGGTGCCCTCTGACAGCATTATTTAATAGTTTTACTCTCCTTGTTTATTACATTTTCTTTGTATCTACCTGAATTCCTAATATTTAATTATCTATGTGTTATCCTTCTCCCTAAAGTAGACTATCAGCTCCACAACAGCAGAAGTTGTTGCTTTACTTGATATTGTATTTCCAGCCACCCCCAAAATGTCTGACACACAGTAAGTATTCAGTAAATGCTGACTGAATTAGAATTACTTATTCCATGATTCTGTCAGATATATTTGTCAAAGACCAAGTCTCTTATCCATGTTCACAGTCCTAGACCACAGCACACTGACCAACATGTGATAGGCACTCAAATGTTTGTTGAACTGAATCAGTAAATTGCATCCTCTTCTTCAAAAATTATTTTACTTCCGTAACACAACACAAATTTTATATACCTTTGAACACCCTCCATTTTTACATGAGGTCCCAATCTTAATTTCATCACTGTCCTCTTCTAAAAAAAAGAAAAGAAAATCAAATTAGAAACATTAAAATACTTTAGTGTCATTCTTAAATAACCTTTTTCATAAAAGAAGTATTTGGAAAAATACTAAATCTAAAATACACCCAACTTTTAAAACAATTTTGAATTATTAAGTTTTCTAAGTGACCTTTCAGTTAATATATTTAAGAAGCTGATAAGAAATCAATTACTGTGATTTGGTTTTGCCCATGTCCCCAAATGATATATGACACATTTCTATTCTATAATGTAATATAATGTCCAAAATCTTAACCCTATCAGAGAGAAATCATGAAATGGGTACTACTTACCTCCATGGTATTGAATGTAGGTCAGAATACACTGAATATATTTTATATCACACACAACGAAACATTTACAATTATCAAATAAATTAAACAGTTAAAAACTACTGAACCACAGAATAAAAATGTTTAATTAGCAGTTTCTCATTTTAATAAAGACATTATGGAATAAACCACCAATTCATTTTGTGATGTTACTGGTATTTAGAAAACAAAAATAAATTCTTTACTATAATGGGCTACCTTTTTATATTTATATTCATTGAACTATACTGCTATCTCTTTTTGATAATTGGTTAATTGTACAGAAAAAACCCACAAAATGAAATCTTACCTTTCTTATTTTCTTCATTCCCCGAGGATAGTTTAAGTTTATCAAGTGCTTGTTTTAGCGAGGCAGCTATTTTTAATTCCAAGTTTGTCATTGGTTCATCTGGGCTGGAGAATTTTTAAATTTTATTACCACTACTGACGTACCAAAATATACATATGTGTGTGTGTGTGTGTGTGTGTGTGTGTGTGTGTATATATATTTTTTTTTTTTTACTAAAATTACACTAAGAATCTATAAAAACCCAAATGCTTTGTGAATCAAGTTTTTCCTATTAAATAGTATTTTATAAATAACTGTTATACGTAACTATACTTTCAAGTTTTAACAGAAAAATTCTGAAGTTAAAATACTAAGACTCAGGCACCTGGGTGGCTCAGTCAAAGTGTCTGACTCTTGATTTTAGATCAGGTCACATCTCAGGGTTGTGAGAGCAAGTCCTGAGTCAGGCTCCACACTGGGTGTAGAGCCTGTTTGGGATTTTCTCTCTCTCCCTCTGTCCACCCCCATAAATAAATATATAAATAAATATATTAAGTTTCAAATAATCATGCTATTGCCAACATGGCAATTATTAATTAGTATACATTAATAATTACTAATCAGTAAGTCTAATGGGAGGTGAAGAACAGGAATCCACATTTGCCAAGAAGGAACCATAAAGTACTTTTACATTCCACACCCAAGCAAAATGCTAAGAATACAAATTTTATTTTTTGGGAATATAATTAACAGGCAACAAATATGTACTAAGTGAATCCATATTCCTACCAGAGGAAATAACTCACTTTGTGTGGACACTGGTTATATGCATCCATACATTCAGATAGAAATATACCACAAAGTAATTTCAGTAGGGTTAAAAATCAATACCACCCTCCAACACTTCGTAATGGTTAAAGTGTTATGTGCACACTTTATATAAAGCCATTCAGTAAGTATTAAGAATATCAACAAATGCAACAAAAATAGAAATCCCAAATTATTCAATCCACATCCTTAATGAAAACTGATGTTCAAAGTATTAACACAGTACATAAAAACCTATATTCCCACAATCTCTACAATACAACCAAATGAATTTACAGAAAAAACTTAGTATCTCTCACTTAAGTAAATTAATAGTCCATTATTTAAAATAAATATTAATTCATACTGCTAATTATAGTAGACACCACTATAATACTTACAAATGAGCCATGCCAAAGTTGTCTTTTCCTCAATTTTTTTTTTTTTTTTTTTTTGTTACTGGCAAATTGGCCAGCAAAGTCTCTCATGATTGTGAATAGGTGGAGATGGAATAAAAATCAGTTTAAGTAGTTTGGTTAAACGAACGAATTATCAAAAAGTCTCACAGGCCTCTTGTATTGGTCCAGTATTATTCAATATGCTATAAAATTTATTTAAGATCAATAAAGTAAAAAGCATGAAAACCACTAGGTCCATTATGGGAATAAAAATATCAACTCGAGGGGAGGCCCCTGAGTGACTCAGATGGTTAAGCATCTGCCTTCAGCTCATGATCTCCAGGTCCTGGGATGGAGTCCTGCATTGGCCCCCCTGCTCACTAGGAAGCTTGCTTCTCCCTCTCCTTCTCCCCATGCTTCTGCTCTTTCTCGTTCTCTAACGAATAAATAAAATCTTAAAAAAAAAAAAAAAATCAACTCAGGCCATATTTGAGGCCAAAAACCATCTAAGTCTTATATTTTGGTTCTAAAGCAATACTCAAATGCAAAATGAAGGAGGCCTGGTTTGACAGTGGCAGCCAACACCATGTGTGAGACTGTGAAACAGAGTTTAGTTGACCAGAAGGGAAGTATGAAGAATCTGTGTAATTCTACTGAAAAAAGAGCAAATGCTATTTTAAAAGTACTCTTAACAGATCTGCCATCTAAATCAAATAAATAAAAAAATTTAATACTAATAGCAAAATTATCAGTTTTCAGGTATCTGAAAGTAAAAGAGGACTAGGCTTGTTCTAGTGACAAAATATGGACAAATGAAAGAGAGAATTTGGTTCAAGAGGAGGAAAAAATATACACACTTAGTAACAATAAAATGGATTACTTTAAAATGAAAGTAAATTCTTCTTCACGAGAATTATTTGAAAGGAAACTAAATATCCTTCTCAGGAATATCCTAGAAGATAATCAATAAAACAGCAGGGGAATAAAGAGGAAGATATCTAAAATTCTTTTTCAACTCAAACGGATTCTCTGACAATTCCTTCCTAGATAGAATTTCACTATGCTACAGTGAAAAAGACATGTCAAGTCATAAGGCAGATGTGGGCTCTTCTGCTTTTGACATATTACGGTGATATACTGAACAAACATACAGGAGAAGTGTACTGTCTACATGCTCTCAACTTGAAGGGGGAAAAAAATGGAAGGTATACTTAAGGGAAAATCCAAAAGATAACAAGTTGGTGACCTACATAACAGCTATAAATGGTATTATGCAAAATCATAAAATACCAACAAATGCTATTATCCACTCATGATAAAAACATACAACCATACAAAGTGTACCTTGGCCTTTTTATTGCTTCTACTGGTTTAGGGGCTTGAATGATGTGCTCCTGAAACTTGGGTTTCAATTCAGAAAGTTCTTTCTTCTCAGTAGTCTTGACTTCAGGTTTGACTGGCTCAGGTGGCTTCTCACTATTATGCCTGCCTTTTGTACAGCCCTGTTAGGAGAGAGAAGAGTTATCCTAGAATCTGTTTCACGTGCCATGATAGAAAAATTAGTTTTCTTTATTAATAAATTATATCGTATGCTTTCTCCACAGACTTATTTTAAGAAACTAAAAACAGAACTCTAAATTTGCAATATTTATAAATAAGTTCTTACATCTTAATGTATTTTAAGCCATTAAATTACACTTCCGGACTATCAGGTTCTCCTACATACACAGCATAAATTTTTTTTTTACAGTAAAATTCTGGAAATCTCACACAGAATTCTACAAACTATAAATTCAAAAGGGCCTTTATATGAGCCCTAATTCTTCTCCTTATTAGCTATTTGACTTTGAGCAAGGCAACCTTTTTGTTTCCTCAAAACAGATGGATTGGCACTTAAGATACTTTTTGAGAGGATTAAGCAATATAGAGTAGTTGTCAAATCTGGCAGATGGGTCAAACATGCATTGTAACATGCCTGAAATTTTAATTTTAATGGCAAGTCATTTCCTTAACAGCTTTTGTTTTTTTTGTTTGTTTTATTTTTCTTAAGGGTATACAGAATAAATGGTACATCTTGGTAGTATCTTAGATTTAATAAATACCTATTGCTCCTCACTATAAAAATCCCTTAACTTGCACGTATCATTTCCTTCTTGATGTACTTTAAAGACTACTCATATCAAGGACAAACCTATACTGTCAGGTGGCTAATTAGTATCATGAAACTTTTATCTCTAAAATGGATAAATCCCTTATTTTAAAGGCTGTCAAAGGAGGTGAGCTCCACTTAAAAAAAAGGCTCTATGTGCAAATTAACAGACTACTCAACAGAAGTCCCAAATCAGACTCCTCAAATCTGGAGCTTCCCACTGTTTATACTTTCTCAGGAGTTAATCTAGGAAAAAAACTTGATACTTACTGCAATGCTTAAAAAATCTGAAAAATCAGTTGTTCTTCTCTTACAGCAAGACCAACCCTATGAAACAGAAAAAAAAAAACCAACCCTGAAAACTGAATATGCATAGAACATAACCCACGAAAAGTCTACTTGCTCTTATGTCCTTGAATCTGGCAGTGACTTGCACATATATAGATTTCATAAAGGTGAAGTGTTATAAATGAATCAAGTAAAATGATTTTTAGTTTTTGATTAAAAAAAGCTAATTAGCCAATGTTAAAGGTGATATGAGCTGTGACTAATTACAAAAGGAAGTACTTTAATACAGGGAAATAAAAATCGCTTTTTTCAAGACTAGTGTTTGATTTTTAGAAGAGAAACATTTTATAATTTCTAAAGGCATCATGTATTTTAAAGGATATGGGGAGTAAGTGAAGTGCTTTACTTTAAAAATACAGAAAGTTAGAGACATTAACGATAATAATTCAGCTTCTAAATAACTCACTGTAGGTGTTCCCCAACAATAAGCATTCTATTTTCAGAAATAGGCTGATTAGCATAGGAACCTAAGAATTGTTAGCTCTTTGAAGGTTAAGGGATCTTATTAGTGACAAGTATAAAAATATAGAAACTGAACTGCTATGTGTGATTACTAAACAAAATATCAAGTGGCTTACCAAAAAATGGCTTTAGGCTGTCATCTGTAATTCCAATGTATCATAAAGAATAAGAAAACAAAAATGCGGCAGTTTCAAGACTTGGGATATTCCAAATTAGACTAGAGGCTAGGATTTGCACTTCTCCATCTGGGCCTCACTGCTTTTCTCAATGTACTATATGAAGAATTTGGTAGTGATTATTTTCACACTATTTTCTTACAAAATTAAAGAAAATGTTAAATATACTATAATTTAAATTTTCCTTTATTTTGAAATTGAATTCTTTTTACTCAGAATTGAGCTATAGATGAAAACCTACTATAACCTTAAAATATAGTATTTAGTTAGCATTGATAATATAGTCATCAGAAAAGTTATTCTGTATGAGAAAAAGCTTTATGGGCTTAATCATAAATAAATAATTACAGCAGATATTCTGGGGATATAGGGGTACATACATAATACATAATATTTGTTCCCAAATGCCAATCTGCGACCTATGGCAGTCCTCAGTAAAAGAAAAAAATGAAAAGGGCACCTGCATGGCTTAGTCAGTTAAGTGTCTGCCTCTGGCTCAGGCCATGATCCCAGGATCGAGCCCCACATCAGACTCCTTGCTCAGTGGTGAGTCGGCTTCTTCCTCTATTTCTCCCCCAGCTCCCTTTTACTCTCTCTCACAAATAAGTAAATAAAATCTTTAAAAATAAATGAAAGCGAAATTTAAGTATGTGAGTATAAGGTTGTCATTTCTTAAGAAGAATTGTCTCTTCTCTGTCTATGCCACTTCTAATTTGAATATTAAAATATTCTTTCTTTTGTATATGCCATGTTTAACTTATCTGCCAATAAACTGGAAACAGAAAACATTACACTGATTTACCTATTTTGTCCGTCTATGTATTTGTGGTGAAATCCAATAGTATTAGAAAAAACAGGTCTTCAAGAGATATTTATAGAGACAATAATAAACAGCAGGATTCGAAAAGAGACAAAAGTACTTCTGAGTGAAGTCCTTAAGATTAATTCAACAGGGTGATTAACAGTTAGGTAGTAAACAAAGAGCAATGGGGGCACCTGGGTGGCTCCGTGGGTTAAGCCTCTGCCTTCGGCTCAGGTCATGATCTCAGGGTCCTGGGATCGAGCCCCGCATCAGGCTCTCTGCTTGGTGGGGAGCCTGCTTCCCCCCATCTCTCTGCCTGCCTCTCTGCCTACTTGTGATCTCTGTCAAATAAATAAAATTAAAAAATCTTAAAAAAAAATAAAATAAAGAGCAATGGACTGAATGACTAGAAAGTTTGTGACATCATTACTAGCAGCACCAAAGTCGAGTGCAGGCTATTTTTGGAATAAGAGTTCACTTTAAAGTGAACTAGTTTGCAGTTGCAAATGAAATGTTCTACAGAAGCCACTGGCACAGAGATGCCGTTTTAGGGACAGAAACACATGCACTAAATAAGAGAAAATAGAAAGCTAAAGACAAAGATGAAATACATCTATGGCTAGGAGACAGTAACATACCATAAGAGAAGAAAGAAAAAGAAAAATATACAGTAAGGAAAAATAAACAGAATAAATGACAGTTCAGGAAAGATTCCCATCACTCTTCTGCAAAAGTGAGTATTTCCCAGAACCAGTTTCCATCCCCCCAAAAGTTTGTAAAGCAGCTAAAAGATGTAAGAAGAGTCAGCTCTGAACTTGCCCTAACGAATGATTGTTCTGTTTCCCACACTTAGAACTAACCAGACTAACATAAACTCGTTATCTGTTTATACATCTTTATTAACACTTGGCTATCTACGGGTTAAATACCAAAAGGGTCCAACTACTCCTTGGAAGGATAATTAGACATTCAAAACGCAACAACAATATTTAAACATGTAAGACTGCTTATGTTCCTAAAACCAAAGTACCAACACATAAAATGACGGCAGCCACACCACAACATTTTCTTCTGAGATAAATGTTACCATATTATCATAACTCATAAAAGATCAATAAACACACCAAGAAAAACCTGTTCAAACAACATTTTATTATTTCTCTAATTCTCTGGAACACCAAGGAAGTACAGGTGGAAAAGAGGTGGTATCTCAGTTTGGCACCCTTCACTGTTTAAAACAATCTTTCCGAAAATCCAGAGCTGTACTTATTACACAGTAGCTGTCTGACAGGTTAAGAAATTAAAATTCAATACACTTATTTCACTTCCCCTCAAGATTAAAGAGAAATGAGTACAGAAAATGAGAGCTGGAATGGAAATAACATAATTTTATAACTGAGAAAGATCTTAAGATCACCATCAACTGTCTTTGCCTTTAATGAAATATTTGAAAGCACCCCAAAACAGCCATTAAGAAAGCAAAAAAGTCGGAGGAGGGTTGGGAGAAGGGGGGTGGGGTTATGGACACTGGGGAGGGTATGTGCTATGGTGAGTGCTGTGAAGTGTGCAAACCTGGTGATTCATAGACCTGTACCCCTGGGGATAAAAATATATGTTTATAAAAAAAAAAAAAAGAAAAGAAAAGAAAGCAAAAAGTCACAAGCTGAGGAAAAAAAAAATTCCGTATTACACCTCTAATTTTTTTTTTTTTTTAAAGATTTTCTTTCCTTGAGAGAGAGAGAGAGAGAGAGAGCGCCAGCAAGCATGACAGGGGAGAAGGTCAGAGGGAGAAGCAGACTCCCCATGGAGTTGGGAGCAGATGCAAACTCGATCCTGGGACTCAGGGATGATGACCTGAGCCGAAGGGACTCGCTTAACCAAGTGAGCCACACAGTTGCCCTATACCTCTAAATTTCATACACAAATATGAAGAGAATGAAATATACCAGGTTCTTACCTTTAAGGCATCATGAAAGACTGGAACACCTGGGTGGTATGTGCAAGCATCTGGTCAAAAAAAAGAAAGGAGAAAAAATACAACTTTGCTATGAATTAAAAAAAAAATCATTATTTTTTTCAGATGTTAACATTTAATCCCTTTTCCAAATGAAGGTAATACTCTGCTTTTCCTTAAAAATTCACAAATGCCTGAGTTTTATCAATGGCACACAGTGCTTAATATAGTATTGCATTACAACAGCAATACCTAAACATGTAATTCAAGAGTATGATAGCTGTAGATAAAAATACAGAATAGTGCAAGTGTAACGAATTGTATTCTATTCCTTTAATATCTGTAGTACCAAAACTTCAAGCTCTGATTTTGACCAACACCTTCCAATTCTATTTACAAAAATACTATCAAACTTAAGCATTCTTATGTGCATTGATCCACAGATTGCCCAAGAGATTCTCTAAAAAGAAACTTTAGAAGGGTATGCTCAAAATTTTAAAAACTGATGTAATATGTAATTGCTAATTTAACTATTGTGGACAGGTATCAATAGCTAGATACAAAACTCATTCAATAGATGTTTAAGTTCTACAGTCTATTTTCAGGGTTGCCACTGATTGTTATTCTGTATTTCCCTACCTCTCCCCACAACACCATCAATTTTCACTAACTCGTGCAAATAAGCTTAATACAGTTTGCAATATGAAATATTACATTTAAAAAATCAGATAATCATAAAAAATTATTTTCTGACTGGATACAACTCTGAGCTTAGAAAAAACAGGTCAGCTCCACATCTGCATGATTTTCTTATAAGGCTACTTTGCACCACCTTTTGTTGTCTGTTTAGCTTTTAACTACCCACAACCACTGATTCCTGCAGTTGCTTAAAATGATATTCCTGGTACTTACAGAAATCTTCCTACTCCTTTATTAATAGACAGTATGGCTTCCTTAGTAACCAGGTATTACATAGATACTATGTTAGGCTAACAGAGTGAGAAAGTGTCAGGTATTTTCACTGAACAGTAAGTAAACCCATGGAATAAGAACAAACTATTAATTGAGGGAAGTAATAGAATTAAGAGTGAAAAAGGAGATTCAAAGTAGAAATGAATATGCAGAGGGATATTAAGTTGAGAACAGAATTAAAAAGAGAATAGAGTATTTTCAAATATTAAATATCATATATCAGAGGCATACATAAAATACATAATGCTTAACAACTGTAAGAGGCATAATTATCATAATGGTCAGTTTGGGCAGAATGGCAGCAGGACTGAATCAGGTCTTAACCCTACAACTAGTAGCAACAAAATTTGACAATCACTGCTTTCAAATGTAAATAACAAGCAGATGGTTATTTTCCTCTCTAGCCTTTATCAGGTTTACCAGTTTTGCTCAAAGCTGTATTTTATGGGTAACATTGTAGCAGTTAAGAGCCAAGGGCTTTTCATTCTGGGTCTGACCCTGGCTCAAATACAGGCTCTGCCTCTTAGCAGCTGATTCAGTTTCTATCTATATCTATATACACACAAACACACACACATATATAAAATATACATATGTATGTATATGTATATGTGTATAATATACACATACAATTTAGTCCATCTATATGGACTAAATTGTAAAGTGGTGCTTTTTCCAGAATAACTGTTTAATATGTGAAAATACCAACTTTGTCTTCTTTAAACATTAATTTCACTTGTGTTTCAAACTAAAACTAGGTATAAGCTTCCAAGGATACCTTATAAGGATACTTTATGCCCAAAGGTCAAACCTTTCCCATTCCAAACAAACTCTCCTAACCAAGTCCACACTCTACTATTAGCTCTTAACCTTCTTTCTATCTTCATTTTCTTAACTTACCACTGAAACAACTTACTGGGAGTTAAGTCTCTAACCCCCATTTTGCTAAAGCAATGAAACTTTCCACAACCTTACTGGAGCTCCCTGCTGAATTTAGTATTGATCACACAACCCCTGAATGTCTACTCCTCTCATTTTCCCACTCCTGCAACGCCCATCTCTTTCCTAGGCATAATACACACACTCTCTCTCTCACAGGCACACAGGCGCGCGCACACGCACGCACACACACACACACACACTTGCTGCTGACTTCCAGAAAATGGCTGTATCTCCCTCATAATTTCAGGCTGGTATAGAACATTCTATAACAATCATTTTTACTTTGGGACATTATTGTCCTAAGACAAAGCCTCAGTCTTTCCCTTTATTTAATATTAAAGTAAAATATGGCAGACACTAAGGCAATTTACTTTTTGCAAAGGTTACCAAAAGCAAAGGCTTTAGGGGTGCCTCGGTGGCTCAGTGGGTTAAGCCTCTGCCTTCAGCTCAGGTCATGATCTCAGGGTCCTGGAATCAAGCCCCATCCGGCTCTCTGCTCAGCAGGCAGCCTGCTTCCCCCTCCCTCTGTCTGCTGCTCTGCCTAGTTGTGATCTCTGTCAAATAAACACCCCCTCCCCCCCCCAAAAAAGCAAAGGCTTTAAAACCTCTTATTTTTCGATTCTGTCATCCACTGAAATCTCACAATTTTCTCTTTGAATAACTTCATAAAAATGTCAATGATGCAAACATGAATATTGTACAAAGACTGAAAGACCGGATTCAACTTTATCAACTGAATTCTGTAAGAGTCTTATTTTATTATTATTATTATTATTATTATTATTATTATTTAAGATCTTTCAGGCAGAGAGAGAGAGGGAGAAACAGGCTCCCCGCTGAGCAGAGCCCAATGTGGGGCTCGATCCCAGGAAGCCGAGACCATAACCTGGCTGGAAGGCAGAGGCAACCCACTGAGCCACCCAAGTGCCCCGAGCCTTATCTTTTTAAAATTATGTCACCAATTCACCTGTGCATCAAGTAAATCCTTCGGACAACTCAGAGGTGAAAAAGATTTAAAAAGGCGTAGATTTTCATTTCCTTCACAATGCAGGAACCATGGTGCTACCATGTTGAACCCCACTTCCCCTTAAAATACATTAACACGCACTTCATAGGGGTGTTGCGAAGATTAAACGAGATGATGTAATACGTGATGGATTAATGCCTGGCATATAGAAAACACAGTAATTGCTAACCGAATTTGACAAAGTGGTGTCATTTCCCACAATATTCAAGAAATCAACTCACTTTATCCCATTCACCATTCAAAATTAAAATTCATTGACTGTTCACCTAGTCTAATCACTTTCACTTTACATCCTTAACTGTATACGTAGGAACCATCACTGTATCCTAAAGGTGACACGTTATTAAAATGGGAAAATCACCGAAAAACTACGCAACAAATAAGGCTACTAAGACAAGGGTAACAAATGAACCATCAGATACATCAAACCGCCAGACACATCGAAACTTAGCGTAAAGATACAGAGTAATTTTCCTAACCCAAGACTCTTTAAAAAAAGTAACTTTATAACAGTCGAGTGGACTGAACAAGCAGAAAACAAGACTTTCAGAAAAATAAACTTCTACGCTAATACAAGGAGCCGGACTTCAACGCTCAAGTAACTCGGCCCGCTGCCCAACCCTCCCAGCCGTCTGTCTCACTCACTCACCTACACGAGCACACCTGCCGCTACGCGAGCCCCGCAGCACCTGGGTAACTTCTGCTCCCCTAAGGAGACGGGGCAGAGGGGGACTGGGAAGGGAGAAAGGTATTTGGTTCCAGGCCAATGGGCGAGTCAGCGGACGGCCGGGAAACACGTGGGACCGGGAGACGGGTCCGCGGGGCTGCGGGGAGCGGGTCGGACGCCTCCACCGAGCGCTACGGGTGGGGGTGGGGGACGAGCGCGGCCCGGAGGGACCGAGACCGGGGCAGGACGACGACCGCTCGCGGGCTGACCCGGGACGCCCTTGGGCCCAAGGGCGTCCCCCCGGCTGAGGGGGAGAAGGGAGGAAGGGCTGGCGGCGCGTTTCTCTTACCGTCGGAGTTGTTCTCGGGATCGAAGCGCTGGCCGCAGCCCCGGTTGTAGCACAGCAGGGCCATTTCCGTTCCCCACCGTTCAAGGTCGGGGCCGAACCCAGGCAAGCGCAAGACGGCGCGCGTCCGACCCCACTGCCGCAACCGCGGGTCTGACGGCTGGGGCGGCTGCCGGCTTCCGGAAACGGCCGGTTCCGCTTCAGGAACCTTCGCGAATTTTCCGGTCGCGCAGGCGCAGAGCCGATGGGAAGAGGCGGAGGGAGCGGCGGCAGCCCGGGCTACCGCGGAGCCGCTGTGGGTCGGGCTCCGGGGGCTGGCGGCGGGGTTTGGAGGTGGCGCCGGATATTTGAAGACGAGACACCTTAAAAGCAGAAAGCGACGGCATCCTGGAGACGCACGTGCTCTCTCCAGATTTCGTCACCGGGTAGCTCGTGCCGCCCAGCGGCCGCCCTGCCGGCTGGGCCCCAGCGCCGCAGCCGCCTCCGGGTTTTTGAGACCGCCGTGATCGCGCTGGCGATGCTCGCCTCTCGGCAGTTCAGGGGAGATGCAGGCTCCCGCGCAGTGCCGGCGAATCCTCTGCCTAGAACGCGGTCGCTCGGTAAACGAGTTGAGGAACGGGGGCGAAGTCTCCCTGGTGCTGAGGTCTCGTGGTCCTGATCTCTGGAGCGCTGAAGAAATGCACGCCTCGGGAGCAGTTGCGATAAGGGAATGATGGAGGCCGAATCACTCTGAAAATACAAAGCACTTAAAATCAGGATATCTATCGTATTGATCGAATACAGTGCTAGAAATGGTTGCTGTGGCTCTAAGACCCCGGGGTAAATTGGTGCTGTTTCATGTTAGCCTCCATTTGATCGGTTTGCCAATACTTGTTTCTTCAGTGCTGGAAGCGCTAACAAGATTTCATCAAGTGCCTTTTAAAAAAGCGGGGTATTACACTAACGAGCACACGCTAAGGGGACCAGCTGCAGCTTGTCTATTTCCCAAACTTGGGACATTTGAAATAAAAGCAAACACTTCTTAAAAACAGGTGTACTGACATTCGTAAAATAGTAATATCAATTGTTCTTAAATAGAAGCAAAGAGGTATACAATGTTTCCAGTGATACCAAGTCGGTCAATGAGAGATGGGCTCAAAAATCTTCCCACCCCAATAAAAAAGACTTGTTTTTTTCCACATTCCCTTCTTTTTATACCTAGAACTATTACATTTTTATGTAGTAATCTCAACATGGATGTATACCATATGTTATTTTTCATTTAACCTAACCTGAATATTTTGGTCTCATAATCATAAATGAAAACTCAGTTAAATAAATAGCACTGTGGCCGTTCTTCCTTTAATCTTATCAACTTTATTATATGTTGTTTTTCTTATGTTAGATTTACCTCCTAGATAAGTTTTGGTAAGTGGCAGTACTGAGGTAAAGGGCATAAGCCTTTTAAAATAAATTTAAGATTTTAAAGATAAATATAGCCGATTGTTTCCAATAGGTGGTACCAATTTTCAGTTTCACCAGCCATGGCTTGGAGGAACAGGCCATGGAAATTAATCTTACACAGTTAGAAATGGACTGATGAAGATGTTTAGAAGTTTAGGTTGTTGTTTATTTCATGGTCTGAGTGTCCTACTACCACTACAACATCACCAGCATCATTAGTAAGCTCTTCCTAATGCTTTTAATATTTGTCATTTTTTCCAGCTACATTTTATAATCAAATTAATAAATACCTTGGTAGATAATTCAGAAATGCAGAAATATATTAAGAGCAAACCAATAATTCTACCACCCAACAATAAATACTGAATCACTAAAATAACTAATAAATTTATTTCCAGTCCCCCCCCACCCCCGCCCCGAGAATTTATTTATTGGTATAAATGTTAAACAGAACAACAACAAAAAAAAAACCAGCAACAAAACCCCCAAAGAATTGGAGTCATAATGTATATGGAAGTTTATATTCCTCTTCTGGGTATTTTAATAAACTACAAAATTAAATCTTTTTTTTTTTTTTTTTTTTAAGATGTATTATTTGAGAGAGACAAACAGGGAGCAGGAGCTGGGAGGAGAGGAAGAAGCACCCTCCCAGCTGAGCAGGGAGTCCAATGTGGGGCTCAATCTCAGGACCCCAGGATCATGACCTGAGCTGAAGGTAGGCGCCTAAACAACTGAATCACCAGGGCGCTCCTAAGTCATTCTTATTAAGAAAACAGAGACAATACATTCCATTCCATTCCATTCCATTCCATTCGAGTCACAGTACCACTTATCTCCACACTCCGTTGCTGACCACACAAACTGTTTGAGAAGCTCTCTGGTACTAACACTGCATAATTTATATAGCCTTTAAATCCAGGTCCCATTCCCTTCCTCCAGAACACACATACTGTTACACAGAATCTTGAGATTTTTCCCATCTTATGAAAACAATGGTATGGAATAGTTAAGCGTGGATCTTTGGATTCAAACCCAGATTCAGATTCTAGCTCTGCAATGTAGTAGCTAATAATCATTCCAGGAAATCTCTGGGTTTCCATTATAGACTTGAACTGGCTATCTATGGACAGCAGGAAGTCCAATCTCCAGGCTTAAGAAGTGATCTTAATTATTTTGATTACTCATGTAATATTGAACATAGACATTTATCTCCCTTTACAGATCCCACTAAAATTATGGAGTAAACAAATAAAAGTAAAAAACAACCCCTCCCCCCAGGGACCAATTTGAATAGGGCATTGCAACAAATTATTTCAACAAATTTTGTTTTGCTTAATTTTCTCTTTTTTTTTTGGTATTAGGAGTATTTGTGTTTTTGTTCAAATTGTTCCCTGTATACTAATACCTAATTACCTCTTACTTTTTATTTCTTAGGCTTTCCCACTCTGTCAGATTTCATTGATTTTGATTTTCAGTTGTTTCCTTGAGGGCAATCAATGAGAGTACTCCTCTTTTCTTTCTTCCTTATCCTCTCATTTTGTTTTTTTCTACTTCTTTAGAAAATGTAGTATTTGCATACAGTCTTTGACCCAGAATCCTAGCTTTATTACTTATTATATAAATATATTTATTATTAATATATGTCAATATATATGTATACTTATCAAATCTATCTAAATGTATTTACTTACAATAAATATATTAAGAAATGTTTTCACTGGTTACTACTAGTCTTCTAGCTTAAGTTTCCTGGCATTCTTGTCAGATGAAGGTTATTTTTTAATAGAGTTGACAGGAATCATTTATGAAAACTATTCCCTGATCTTTCACATGTTTAGAACACCTTCTTCTAAAGACCTGAAACTTGAAGGAGGACTTGAATGGACATAAAATCCTTATTTCATACTAAGACCTCAGAATTTACTTAATTCATACTAAGTTCAGAATTTACAAATATTTTTTATATATAATTGAACTGAATTTCTTTTTTTGTGACCAAGCCTATGTTGAATCAAATGTAAAACAGAATAAAAGGGAAAAACCTCATCATAGCAGTACATATTTTTCATGTTACTTCCCTGCAGCAATCAAATTTCTAGAAATGTCCTGAACTTGGGGCACCTGGGTGCCTCAGTCAGTTGTGCATCTGACTCTTGATTTCCACTCAGGTGTTGATCTCAGGGTCTTCCCCTGTGGAGATCTGTGCTCTGCATGGAGTCTGCTTGAGATACTTTCTCCCTCTGCCACTCCCCTCACTCATGTGTGCTTTCTCGTTCCTTCTAGAAAAACAAAATTCTTAAAGAGAAAAAAAAAGTGTCCTGAACTTATTTCACTACTCTGTAAATCAGTACAAATGTCTTATAACAGTACTGCATATTTTGTAAATGATTCTTCCAAAATTTGGTTACTTTTTTTCTTTCAAAATAAACTGAACATGTTTAGCTGAAATAGTTAATAAATTTGGATTTCCAAAAATTGTCAGCTTTTGAAGTCCTTAGACTATTGCAACTGAAAAAAAAAATAATAAAAACAAAAACACCCCAAATATAAAAAAGATTACAAACAAGAATTACATTGAAATTTATCCCTATAAAGCAAGAGAGGAAATAAAATAACTAATAAGGGGACTAGAGGTGATAATTTTGTGTATTAAAAAACATACACTAGGGAGCCTCTGCCTTCGGCTCAGGTCATGATCTCAGGATCCTGGGATCGAGCCCTGCCCCCACCCCCCCTCCGGCATTGGACTCTGCTCAGCGGGGAGTCTGCTTCTCCCTCTCTGTCTGCCTCTCTGTCTACTTGTGATCTTTCTCTGTCAAATAAATAAATAAAATCTTAAAAAAAATACACTGATGCTTATACTCTAGCGTGCATGCACACAGTTATTTGAAGAGTACAACTTTTCTAATGTTACCCCATGTTTGAATTTCTGCTATAGGCAGAAATCCCAATGGAAGTAATTTAGTAAATTGTGAAGTACGTTTTCTTCTGATTAAACTCTTATTTATTTATGTTTTTAACTTTTAATTCCAGTCTAAGATAGTGTCCTTATTAATTTTAATAACCTAAAAAATAGGAGGTGAGAATCATATACATTGTGTGTCCCACCTCCGGCCCACCACTTTACTCCAGTCATTGTGGATGTAACCTGACATCTCATTTCATCTGCATTACATACCTTTCTCTGTCCAGTCCCAGGCTTCTCTGGTGCCAATGTATTAGATGCTTGTTAGCCTTTCTGATACCTACCAAACTTAGAAGTGGGAGTAAACATGTATAGCACAACCCTTGACCAGTTCATGGCTGGGAACTGGTAGATACATGCTTCTGCTTCTGTGCCTCAGGTAGACAATTCTGAAGTGTATTCTACAAGTCTTCTTAAAGTAATTAACTGCCAGCTACTAATGACAATAATAATGCTGCTCAATAATTTACCCTAGGAGTCGATTTTTCTTCCCTCTCTTGTCTTTCCAGTTTCCCACTCCTCTCATTTGGAATAATTTCCTAAAATAAACTATTTCCTAAAATAAACTGTAAGCTTTTGTCTCCAGCTCTGCTTTCAGAAAGGATCTAGGCTGAACCAAACTGAAATATGTACATTCTTACTGAATATCTTTTTTAAAATTAAGTCTTCAAAAAATGAAATTCATCATATCTCAGAATTTTATTGACTAAATTCTACTAACAGAAAAAAGAAAAGACAACTTTACAGGCTGAAAGTTTGAAGCTGTTGTCAATTAGGAAGAATTT